GTGTATGTGTTTTCTGATAGGTGTGGAGCCGTTAAAGGCCTTAAACCTGAATGGGACAAAGCTTCAGCTAATATGTGCGGAAAGGTCAAGTTTGGTGAAGTGGACTGTCAGAAATGCCCTGTAATATTCCTTAAAAAAATTATAGTTTTTAATTTAAACTAATACTATTAATCCATATTGTTACTAATCGATTGCAATTTTTCAGGAATTATGTGGTAAGTATAAGGTACCACATTTCCCATATATTTTACAATTTGGTCCAGATAAAACAAAAGAGCCTGTCCAATACAAAGGAGCATGGAGTGCTGGAGCACTGGAAGAAGCTGCCAATCAAATTGCCTAAAAATAAGTTTTAAGTGAGGAATATTGCGTCGGAATACCACTTGTTTTTATTTGTCATAATTGTGAAACAATGACACCTTTTTTTATGGTGTAACTTTTGTGTAAAAATAAAGGAAGGTTTATATTTTGTTTATTTATATTCCAAATCATCTGACATATTTATAGCATCTCTAATGAATTTAATTTTAGGGACTTATCACTACTCATTAAATATTTAAAAACAGTGGAGCATATAACTGATTTTGTTACCATTCATCAACCATTTAATATTCTTCAATCACTAATTTATCAATTATGGTATCACATTTTATCTTTCTAATCAATAATATTTATATTTTAACTAAGTAATCAAATTTATAAATAATTATAATGAAAATGAATATTTTTATAGCTACACAGTTTATAAAAAAAATCAACTCCAAATATAATATATGTTTAAAATAAAGAAGGGGGATTATATTTTTTTTCAAAAATAGGATGATATACTAAACAAGCAATGAAAGTAGGTTGTTTATAACAAGTTAAATTTTGGTGTAACTGCGTTTGGGGCGCGATAGATAAACGAGCAGGACTATACAGAAGCACGTTGGTGATAGTGGTTATGGGTACACAGATTTGGAGGAATTTGGATTTTGGAGGACACATTATGATTTGACAAAATTTATCGGTGAACGGGATGAACAGGTGGAGAGAAAGATGAATTGTGTGTTTCAATAAGAGGATTGTCTTGAAAAAGATTTTTGACTAATTCGATTCGTAACGGTGGCAACTACGATGTAACTACATGTAATTTTTATTGATTTAGGTTCTTCTTTTCTATTGACGATCACTAAACACATACACACACACACCATATTTTTCATACTTTCTACTTCATCCATCATTTAATACTTCCCTAACATTTTTTGGCTCACTCACTTATATACAATTCGTTGAATCCATTTTGGCATATTTATAATCTATTATCAACCCACAACTAATTCTAACAATATTTCCTAGCTATTTTCATCGACATTAATAAGTTAAAATCTAAATAAAGAAAGTTTGACCATTCTATACGTTGGCAAAGAAAATTGTTTCTTTCAATATCAACTCGATTGGAGGGAAATATAGTTATAGAAGTTCTAATTCTCTTGCCTCCAAATTCATAGTTTTGGCCCTGGGAATATGACTTATCAAGGTAATTATCTTTTCGTTTTGTTCACATATGGGTAACTTCCTTTTTTTTGCACACATATAGATAACAAATTTGTTCAAAGTGTTCACATATAACCATTATGATCGGCTGTAGCAAGTTACAACCTGTCATAATGGTCATATTTGAACACTTCCAACAAATCCGTTACCTAGACGTGTTTTTATTTGTCATAATTGTGAAACGATGACACATTTGTTATGGTGTAACTTTTGTGTAAAAATCTAATAAAGGAAGATTTATATTCCAAATCATCTGACATATTTATAGCATCTCTAATGAATTTAATTTCATGGACTTATCATTACTCATTATGTAACACCCGTTTTCCGGGATGGATCGGTTTAGGGTTTCAGGGAGTGAAAATGTTGAATTTTGGAAGAAATAGGGCCTCACGACGTGACCTTTTTAGTGGTCACGACGTAAGAAGGGTTGTTATGTGAATAGTGTTTCGGACTGATCTCACGACGTGAGACATAGAGGCTCACGACTTGAGAGCTGATGCAACCCAAGCTCATGATCTTTTAGGATTTCCTTCGTATTTAAGCCCCTCTAAACCGGTTCATTATCAGCCTCCAAACCTCTTTCACCCCAGAAAACCCTAGCATTCATTCCTTGTTTGAATCTTGGCCTTTTTGGAACATTTCTTGGTTTGAAGAAGAAGAAAAAAAAAAGGTGATCTTTTGGTGAGGCTTGCAAGGAATCATCATCTTCTTCACTTTACATTGTTGTTAGACTCTTGTAAGTGTCAAAGCTTCCATCTTTATTGTTGTTTGTGGCTAGATCTAAGTTTTGTCCAACTTTTCTCTTTGATTGAGCAAGTTTGAATGAATGGAAACCATAAAGTTTGCAACTTTATAGGTTATAAGGGTCTTTAGAGTGTCATGAAGTTCAGATCTAGTGAATGGTTGGGTTTTGGAACCTTGCATGAAAGTTGGATGACCTTTTCTTTAATTTTTTACCCAAATGAGATCTAGACATGTATTGGACATAGATGTCTTAAAAGCATCGACTTTCAAGTGTATTATGGAGTTATAAGACCTTCTGGAAAGTTAGAGTAAAAGGCTTAATGGATTAGGGACTTAAATCTTTGGATTTTGGCTTGAGACTGTGCTCACGACGTAAGACATGAGGTCTCAGAACGTGAGATTAGAATATCTCATTTTTTGCTGCTTTATCTAGGGCTCACGACGTGAGAGAAGGTTGCTCACGTCGTGAGGTCAGCTCATATGATTTTCCTTGTCTGAGATAGTTGGGTTGAGTCGATTCGAGTTGGAAAGTGCTCTCACGACGTGACCAAGGGTTGGTCACGACGTGACCAAGGGTTGGTCACGACGTGAGGCTGAATAGTTGACATCATTATGGGATGTTGACTTTTGATCTAGGTTGACTTTTGGTCAAGATTGTTGATTTTAGTGTGTAGTCTAAGGTTGGACCTTGTATGATGTGATAGGAGTATTGTAACAACGGTTGTTAGGCTTTTAGTTGTGGTTTAGCTGATTCGTGATTCAGGTGAGTCTCATCACTATACTTGGGGGTCAAAGGCACCAATGTCGGCCCATTGGAATGTGTTATGTAGGATGCTAGTTGTCTGTGTGACACTTGTATTGTATGTTGGGTTGGGCCAATGGCGTGCATGTAGGGCTGGGTCTATTTGCATGAGTGGGTTGGGCCCATAGTATGTCGGGCTAGGCCCAATTGTATGTTGGGCTGGTCCCATTTATTAGGAAGGGCTAGGCCCATTATTATGTGTTGGGCCCAATGTGCAGGCTAGGCCCAATGATATATATGGTATGTGGTATTTTGGAGAACTCACTAAGCTTTATACTTACGGTTTCATGTTTATGGTTCCATGTACTTCTAGTACGAAAGGGAAGGGCATGGCGTGACTGCACAACATCCCCCAGAGTTTATTTTGCGTTGATAATTTTTACTATGATGTTTAAATACTATTTTTCACCTTGAATGGTTTTGGGAACAAATTGTTGTATGAATTATTGTTTTAAAAATGAAAATTTTTCTATGAATTTTCGGGACGTTGTACATTAAATATTTAAAAACATTGGAGCATATGACTGATTTTGTTACGATTAATCAACCATTTAATATTCTTCAATCACTAAATTATCGATTATGGTATCACATTTTATCTTTCTAATCAATAATATTTTTATTTTAACTAATTAATCAAATTTATAAATAATTATAATGAAAATGAGTATTTTTATAGCTACATAGTTTAAAAAATAAAAAATAAAATAAAATAAAAATCAATTCCAAATATAATATATGTTTAAAATAAAGGATGGGGGATTATAAAATGTTTCAAAAATATGATGATATACTAAACAAGTAATGAAAGTAATGAAAGTAGGTTGCTTATAACAAGTTAAGTTTTGGTGCAACTATGTTTGGGTCGCAACAGATAAACAAGCAGTATTACTACTACAGAAACACGTTTGTGATGGTGGTTACGGGTAGACATATTTGGAGGAATTTGAAGGACACATGTGGTTATGATTTGACAAAATTTATCGGTGAAAGGAGTGAACGGGCGGAGAGAATTGTGTGTTTCAGTGAGAGGATTGTCTTGAAAAAGATTTTTGACTAATTGGATTTGTAACGGTGGCAACTACGGTGTAACTGCATGTAATTTTTATTGATTTAGGTTCTTATCTAATGATGATTACTAAACACATGCACACACACCATATTTTTCATATTTTCTACTTCATCCCTCTTTTGATACTTCCGTAACATCACTAAGATACAACTCGTTGCATCCATTTTGAGATATTTATAATCTATTATCAACCTACAACTAATTCTAACAATATTTCCTAGCCATTTTCATCGACATTAATAAGTTAAAATCTAAATAAAGAAAGTTTGGTCATCTATATGTTGGAAAAGAGCATTGCTTCTTTAATATCGCCTGGACCGGAGTGGAATATAGTTATAGAAGTTCTAATTCTCTTGCCTCCAAATTCATAGTTTTGGCCCCTAAGATTGAATTTTTTTTTTTTAATTATTTTTACCTTAAAAACAACACTTCCTCGGTGGCATTACATAAATAGATACAATTTCATCTGCAATAAAACTAAGAATCAAGTTAAATGATAATTTTCATTTGTTTGTATCATTTTTCTTCTTTATCTACTTTGTGTGGGTCCCATCTTAGTTTCGTATGCATTATAGAGCATAACAGACTGCATCACGCATGTCATGCATGCATCTGAGATGTCAATGAGACAAAACTGCAATCTCTATCCCATCTAAAAAGATGGAACAAGGTAGGATAGAAACTCACTCTCGATCTCTCGTCTATACAAAAGACGTAAATGCCCTCCTGAGAAAAAATAGTTTGCCCGGTACTATAGGTACAATGTTATAATCAAAAGAAACAAAAAAAAGGGGGATGTTGTAATAGGCAAATATAAGAAAGTATGTTACCAATTCTTGCATTTAACTCGAGTAAATTCACATTATATTACACCTCTATTGAACCATAATCTCTTAGGACAAGCTCAACTTCTTCTACAACTCCCAATTCCCGAAACCAACGAGCCAATTTCTCGGAAGCTTCTTTCCCAATCATAATCCCATCACTCTCCAAATCCATCAAAAAATCCAACACTTCCTTAAGCTTCTTCTCCTTCTCATAAACATCCAACATCAAAGCCACACACTTATCATTGGGTCTAATACCCGCTCTCCTCATATTCTCAAATGCAACACAAGCTTCTCGATTTTGACCCGAAGTTACATATGCGTTAATTAAAAGTGTGCATATTTTATCATCAGGAATAATACCCGCAATTTGAATTGCATCAAAGATTCTTTGAGATCCCACACTATCGCCACTCATGGAGTATGCTCTTAACATCGCCTTGTAAACTTCACTTTTGGCATAAACTTGTTGAGATTCCATTTCTTTAAGTAGAATTGCTCCTTCTTTTAACATTCCGGCTCTAATGTATGCCATAACCATTGACCCGTAAGCTCGGTTATCTAAAGGAAGACTCAGAAGCTTCATTTTTTCAAATGTATCTTTTGCAAGATTGAATTTTCCAGATTTACTATACATGTGAATTAAAGATGTTAAAATTACTTGATCGCATTCAAGACCTTCATTTCTCATGGCTTGTAATGTGTTTTCAGCATCTTGTAATCGACTTTGCTTAGCATAACCATGAATGATCTTTGTATAGTCACGGATATTGGGTTCAAATGATTCTTCAAGAAGGGCAAATTCCGCCACCTATATCAAGATTTCAGAAATCAGGAAAATTAGTTAATACTTATATATCGATTTGTTGATGGAAAATTAATCCTTTCCAACTCAAAATGTTGAAGTCCGATGAAGAGGTATGTCAATCATCTAAACATGAATAAAGAAATCGACACATTTATGCAGAAAAATGCAAAGGAAGGTTGAACAGATTCGCGAAAATTTTATCAGTGAGAATAAAATTTAAGAAAACTATACCTCGAAACGCAATGGATGATTCATGTTTCCCATTTCTTTGAGAACAACAAGCCAATCAGCTCGAACAGGCTTCATACTCCTTACCCACGCAGCCAACAATATCGATAGGTTAGTTTTTTCAGGCGAAAAACAAATCAATTGTTTCATCAAGGCTCTGCATCGATTAGTCATGTTTTTCGGCAATCGAGATATATGAATCCTTTGCGCGTCATTGATTTCATCAAGGTTGATTTCCGCCCATCTAATCCGCGGTTTCTCATCTTCAACTTTCTGCATTTGCCCTAGGTCGCCAACGGCACATACCAACCGGAAAATTTGGGGTTTTAGAAGGTTTAAATTTGTTAGTTTTGTAAACGAAGATTGTTTCCATGAATGCGAGCAATGTGACACTTGAATTTTGCATATTAGAGTACAGTTATGGTTGGAGAAAGCTAACATGATTACAAGGAAAGGGAACAGGTAAACCTAGACAAAATTCATGAAACTGAAGAGCATTGACGAAAAATCAGGTCATGGAAACAGAATCACATCGCAAACCTTGCTGATTTTTGGTTCTAAAATCAGCCGGAACTCATGATAGCCAGAGCACACAAAAAAGAGGGGATGAGTTTGCTGCAGGCGAGAGTGCAAACTGAAGGATGAATCAGATAGGATGAAGGTTAACTTTTGTTTTTTTACATATTTTAGAAAGAAATTTGGTCCCTTGTTTACAAATAGAATGTATATAAGGTCCAAAAAAAATTTAACTTGTATCAATTCAGTCCAAAATAAGAATCTTTTTGTGGTCTGGGTCAAAAGAGAAACTGCAAGATAGAGATGAGAAAAATAAGAAGAAATGTAAGTACCCATATGTGGGACCACGATGTGGTGGTGTTGTGATTGTATTGGGGTGGCGAATGGTGGTGAGATTTGGTGTTGAAGCACAATAGAACTCTTTTTCAAATACGGCGTGTGCTCGACCGATTGTTCTTTATTTAATAGCGACTTGGTGCTTGAAAAAAGGTACATAGTGACATGAGTATCGATTTTTCTTTTATGGGTCCTTGAATCACCTAAGCCTTCTTCACCAGACAATGTGTTAAGCCTTCTTCACCAGACAATGTGTTGTCAATGAGAACATGATTTTCGAACAAGTTTTTGTGGATTTGTGTTATTTGGGATTTTTGTTTGGTTTAGGTTCAACAATCCAATCATAGTTTTCTGTAACATGTTGCTTAAATGATTGGAATTATTGTTTTTGCTAGTTTTCTCCATGATTTTATACCTATTGTTCCCTAAACACAAAGTTTTGATTTTGTTCTTTATGTGTTTAAATCTCTTGTATGTATGTTTGTAAATCTCGTTTTTTTTTGGTTTATTTATGTTTAATTTGTAGGTATTTGTGTGTGTGTATATGTTTTTGCGTCAAGAAGTGAGAATGATTATACTGGGTGGGAAGAGTCGTGGCCGACAAATTTGGTGGTGGTGTTTATGGGGATACAGTGTAGGGTCGTGCACAGAGATACATGGTGGAGGGATTTGTTTTTTATTTTAATTTAAAAAATAGACAAAATTTCAAAATTGGTCTTTATGGTTTTCAAAAAACTATGGATATGGTCCAAAAAGTTTTCAACTTGCATGAAAGATCCAAAATCTGAAAAATCTCGTGATTTTGGTCCCTGAAATACTTGAAAAGACTTTACCCTTTTATTTTTATTTTTGGATTTCTTAAGTTTTTTATTTTAAGTATTTTTGGATAGACAAAATTTTGTTTTTTATTTTAAGTTTTCATACGTAGGTTTGATTATGGATTAAAGGTTTCTTGGATGAGATGGTCGGAGAAGATGAAGAGGGTAACTGTTTGTACTCTTTGTGTATGTGTTTGTGAGAGAGAGTGAGAGTGAGAGAAAAACATAAAGAGAAAGAGAAATAAAACGGTGGGGGGTGTGGGGGGTAGGTCGAGGATAACTCTTTTCTTTTCTTTTTATTTTAAGTTAAAATGGTATTAGAATAATTATAAAAATTATAAAAAAGAAAATAAAATGGTATAACCATCTTTTCAAGTTTTTTTGAGCTAAAATCACAGGAATTTCTTAATTTTGAACCTTTCATGCAAGTTGGGAACTTTTTTAAACCTATCCACAGTTTTCGCAAACCACAAGGACCAATTTTGTTGTTTTGTCTAAAAAATACTTGGATAAATCTTTAAAAAATGTTAAAAATAAATTAAAATGCAAAACAGTCCTTTCAAGTTTTGAAGGGACCAAAACCACAAAAAAAATCTGATTTTGGACCAATGATACAAGTTGAAAAGATTTTGGACATTATGCCCATTTTTCTAACCACAAGGACCAAATTTGCAATTCACTCAAAAAACTGTAGATAGAGTTCAAAAACTTTTCAACTTGCATAGAATGTCCAAAATCAAAAATTTTCCGTGATTTTGGTTCAAAAAAAACTTAAAAAGACGGTTATGCCCTTTTAATTTCTTTTTTTCATTTTTCTATAATTATTTTAATACTATTTTGATTTTAAAAAATGCCAACACCGCCCCCACCGTACTCTCTCTCTCTCTCTCTCATCTATCATCTGGAAAAAAAAAACATATTTTTTGCTACATACCAATCGTATTCCTCTCAACAGTGTCAATAAGGTTAAACTTTTTCTCATCTATCTTTGATGACCGCAATACCCTTCTCATTCTGTATTAAGCACTTCCACCTGCAAACTTATCTCCTCTACTAACGAATCTATGTAACAACCCATAATTAACACGTAGAAATTTAAAACATTTAAACCTATAAATCAAGAACACACACTCACAAAATTAAATGTACACACAGAAAATTAAACACATACATAAACACAAAGAAAATTTAAAAAATACACAAAAATCCTTAAGTAGTTCTAGTTCTGATTCATAATTCAAATACTTCATAATTTTGAAAAATAGATGATGCAACCAACCAAAACCTAGTTAAACTCGGATGAAGAAAAAAACTAAGATGAACAAGGTGTTGGGTTATGAGCATTCTAACACTCCTAAGTGTACATGCAACCCTAAATACATTGGATCTATGTTTTCTCTATTATACATACAATTATGAACATCCAAGGTATTATCCTAATCTAGCATACAAAATAATAAATATAACAAGATAGAATACATACCTCTTTGATGTAGAATGTCTTCATGAAGCTTGAGTGCCTAGTGCCCCAAGTGTGACACCTCAAATGGTTCACACAACACCAAATACACTTGGAATAACTTGAGAGAAACTTGAACACTCCTTGAAATCGTCTAGCCCTCACACTCACACATTAGTGCCCGATTTCTTGAGCCATGGGATTCTTTTATATGGTGGCTATTAGGGTTACACCATGTAACTCATAACTTTACCCATTCCTTATGCTCCATGGATTTTAACCTCCATGGAGTATCCATGGGTCACCCCATGGACTTAGTCCAACATAAGGAATCTTGGATCACAAGCCCACATATATAAGAATGAATGATTTACACAATCAACCCATATATTTAATTAGTCTCCTTTTGATCACTTAATTAATTCCAAATTAATTCTTGATCAATACTAATTAAATAACCTTATTAATATATATTAGAACTTATAATATATTAACCAACCTTAAGTGTTATTTCTCTCATTATAGTCTATCCAAATGCATGATGCCATGCAACCCAAATGGACCATGCCGGGTCGGGTCAAGTCTTACCAATTATAGTTATGGACTTAGACATTAATCCAACAGTCTCCCACTTGGATAAGTCTAAAACTATTATTGCGTATGACTTCAGGAACCGATCAGCAATCGTAGCTCTCAAAAGCTTCTGTCTAACTCTGACCTTGTCGATTAACTCTGACCTTTGTCAATGACTTGTCCATTAGATAAGGGATCATATATTCCTCCATTCTAGATATCATATGGACTGAGACATGGATTATCAATCATTCTCTCTGTCCATTTGTTGTTTCCCGATTTTCGATTCATGATGACTGACTGATTGAACAAATCAAATCAGTCCTGGCTTGGCCAAGCACTCACTTGTATCATCTTTAAATCATCGAGGGGCCCACAGATATCGCTTTTATCCCGAAGGTAAAAGGAATGGATAAACTTCGACTCATATGGCTTGTTCTACTACTTGTTGAATCATACACAAAGGCACGTTTTATAACATCGAGTTACCAATGCGTTTTCGTGCAATCAATGTATAACCAACTCATAGTAACAACTCATATCTCTAGGTTTGAAGAATATAAGATATTATCGTCTCATGATCACTCGTGATAAAATCCATGAAGTGATTCAAATGAGCGCGGGTTGAATCCAATACTCAGAACTTATGAGCACTCATGAGTGTTGTAGCACCACTTTGTCCACCAACTTGGACCTCTACAAACCAACCCATGACAGTCTTGATTCATATCTACTTCCAACATATGACCGACTGTGGATGGTTTGAATAACTTAATCATTCAGGAAGAGCGACTTAGTTATTCTGGAAGTCAAAACATGCAAAGTGAAACACAAGAATAAATGAATCAAATATGGTATCAAACCCTATGAATATAAATAAACACTTTTATTTATCACCATACTGATTACTCATTATTCATTGTTTCGGTTTTATCAACTTTATACTTGAATTTAAAACAATAGTTGTCCCATGCTCCAAGCATGTACACTATGTTTTCTAAACACTAGTCATGTCATACACCAAGTATGCATACTATGTTTGTCTATGATCTTTACTTTGTAAAATAGATCAATTGAACATCACTCCAATGATCCTCTTTTCACAGTCCCAAATCCTTACTGCAAATGCAAGAATTCCAAATTCATGCCATTTACTGAAATCTGTTAGATTCTAAACTTATATGCATTGATCCTCTTAATGATTATGCACAAAGTCAGAAAGACTTGACAACAATCATTACAGAGCATTCCAAAGGAGATCAGCTCCTTGGAAACATCCTTCTTTCATTAAGTTTCCTAATCTCACACAGATTGAATAATTTCTAACTTTGAAACATTTCCATATTCCATTTTGACTATCACTTCTGAACAAGAGTTGCCTCCTTACAGATTATGTCAATATGGTCCTTCCAGAATTAACATTATACTTCCAACTGTCCTTGAGCAACCAATCTTTGGTAAACCTTAGATTGTCCTCGACAATTGCTTAATCATTTTAGTCATATCCAATTCTAGACCTTTTCCCTTCATAATGCCCAGGCATTTGGAAAATTTTAGAAGGATGAATATAGCACATGTAATCGATCCTATATCCGAAGCATATGGGACACGATTCATGATGTCTCACATAAAGACTAAACCAGTCTTTTGCTATAATATTTCCATTTCAATTTGCCAAGTTCTCAAAATTCAGATTATGAAAATGGATGCCGTAATCATAATCGAATTTTAGAACGCAAATAATGGACCCATATATAGAATTTCCTTATGTTGAGCCATTCCAACATGAAATTCATATATATATCCTTGATTAAATATGATTAAAATCTCAATCTAAGCTTTTAGAATTGAAATGAAGTATAATTTCCTCTCCCTTAATTATAGCAAAACAACTTTTTCAACCCCTGCAACCTCACGAATTGAAACTTTTGTTTTCTA